TCAGGGTAATCTGTAACGAATTAGAGTTTTTTTTTTGGGGGGGGTGGGGGGTGGTTTGAAGATGAGTTTTTTTTTTTAATTTATATTTTTAATATTGAGTGTGAGACACACTATATGCCAGGTAAGATATGAAAGTTTACGAGACACATCTCTGTCAAGTAGAGGTGTCTATCTGGTCACTAGCTAAAGGTGTACCATATCCACATTTCGGCATTGCCCCTCCCCCAAATTAAAAAAGAGGCCGTATTATCATAAAATGAGCATCATAGCTAGGATTACCTTCTATGCTGACAAAATAGTTTTCTTCCAAGTTCTATACCTCCTTCCGTTTTTAGGAATACAACCATTTTTCTTGCTTAGTTCAAAGCTGGCATCAGCTTGTGATGGTGGAGCTGATGTTAAAGTTCATATAATTCATATTCACATTCATCAAGTATAACCTTATCAAACTGTCGGGATTTTGGGAGGACGTGGGGGAAACTGGAGACAGAGAGAAAGATCTATGATATGAAGCTGCCTTCAGATGACCATGAGTGTTTCAGGTACTCAGTTTCTTTAATTCCTTATGATTATAAGGGCATGTTTAATACTGCTTAGCTGTTACAAGAAATCAATAAGATGCACCAAAGTGACACAATTTTTTAGGAAAAGATGAAGATATTTTTTCCTTCTAGAAAAAGGCATAACTGAAAAAAGTTAAAGATTTTTTTTTATTTTTTTTTTTTGTGAAAAGAAAATAAAGGAAGTCTAGTTCATACTTCGGGCAAGATAGAGAATTCACTCAGGCACAGGTATCTACTTTTGCAGTAAATTATTAGGTAAATTAAATGATATATTACCTCTCGAATAGGATGTCATTGGCAAGATAGACAATATGCAGCTGTCTCTCAGGATCATCTACAGAAAATACCCTATCTCTGATTGCCTCAGCCAAAGCAGGTATAAGTGGAGACCTCTGCATGAACCAACTCTTTGCACCTTTAATTGACTCTTTGGTACCATTAAGAATGTTTAGTACATTATTCAATTCCATTTCAACATCTGATGGAAGAGGCCTTGATAAACCTTTGAAAGACCTATATGAATGATCATAATCTGGGCGGCCAAAAGCCTGAGAGGGCTGCTGTTCAAAGAATGGCGGCAAAGGAGGTTGATGTAAATGAGGTGGACCCAACATTGCAGCAGAAGCCCCAGCAGCGGTATTTGAGCCGCTATATGTGGGATTTAAAGGTGATTGGCTCATCATAGGATTTGGTGGATGCATCATAGGCAAAGAAGAGGATGGAAAAGGAGCATTAAACAGTCCACCAGGTGGGCGAGTAGACATCCAAAGTTTATAGCGGTAGTAGTAATGGCCTTCACCACCAAAGAGGAAACTGTAAGCTGGATTATCTTGCTGTTTTTCGCGGATCATTGCTTCAAACTCGGGACCATTTTTGACAGCATACTCTATTAATTTATCAATACGTTTTTGGAGTTCGGGATCAGATGGTGGGGGAGCTAGAGGAGGGGGAGAATCATAGGGATTGTGGAAAGGTGACGGTGCATAGTGAGGAGGCATATGTGGAGGAAACGCAGGAGGCGGCTGCTGTTGCTGCTGAAGGTGAAGAAGGTGAGGAGGCGGTGTATGTGGATGGAGTTGTGGTTGCTGAATGGGGCGAGGGTAAGGGAACTGTTGAAGGGAAGAATGTGGGGGTAGAAATGGAGGACCATGAACTGAAGGAGGAAATTGTTGATGCTGGGGATGAAAACCAAACTGTTGTTGCTGTTGCATGCTAGCTGCTTGGTGCTGCTGCTGAGCAAAAGTCATAGCAGTATAATCATGAGCTTGTCGATCCATCACCACTAAAGGGACTAGCAGGACATGAATGCAGGAGCAGTTTGAAACACTCTAATAACCTGTACAAAATAACATACTAATAAGATGACATGCATTCCAATTTTGGGCAAACCTTAAGAAATTATTCTTGTGCAGTAAGAACAAAAAATGAGCATTTACTACCTCTAACTAAGTTAACAGGTATCCACCAAAGTTTTAGTACTAAAAAACAGCCTTAACGATGAGTAGCCATGAGCACTACACCTTAGAGACTGGTGTTGCACTAGTCCTGAGACTGCTTTTATGTCTGCCTATTTCACTTCGAGTTCAGCCATTCCTGATTGCATAATGTTTCAGTATCTATATCACAATTTAAAAGAGAACAGAGTCTGCACATTGATGAGTAAATATTTAAGCACGATAAGAGACGGAAAATAACTAAGTTGTGTGGACTCTTCATTTGTGTGTGCTGCACCCGTGCCGACACCACACTGATACTAGTATTGGTGTGGGATACGTACCGGATCTGGTCAATCAACATTGGGTACTTTGACCCCAAATTACGGAGAAATTAAAAAATAAGATTTGGCATTGATTTGTTTTGACAAAGGTAACAGTAATGTATTAAAAAGGCCCAGCACAAAGGTTATGCTGGTAACCATTTACAGATTCCAAAAGAAGCAAAAAGCTATCCTTGTTCTTCTTACAAGGGTTCTATGACGTCTAAAATGGATTTTTCATCATTCAAATAAGATTTGGCATTGATTTTTCAAGACAAAAGCTACTGCAGATTTCTAGATGGCTACCTAATAAAAGATTGAGTTACTACACTCTACAAGCTACATGTAAGTTTTCCACATGATGTCTCATAATTTAGGCATACTTTTATAGCTCTATTTTTAGATATAGTCGAATCCCCACACCTGTATCCATACCTGGATTCGTACCTCCAAATCTTAAAATTTAGACCATGAAGGATCCGATCTCTAGATTCGTACCCATTAAGATTTGTGCATGGATTTTTACTTTCTGTTAATCGGGCTTGAAGCTATTGTTGGACTTGCTGTTCATGTAACTAATCCACATCTGCTCGTGTAACTGACCAGGAAACCAGAAGTATTAGCAAATACAACAATCCCGTCGTTATAGACTTGGATGTTTGAAAAACATTGTATTACCCCTCCACATTTCAGAACATTGTTGTCCATTTGGTATCAACTTGTCAATGTAATTAAACCTCCTAAGCATGTTTTTGAAGAACTTTGTATTCTTACCCCTGTTTTAACCATAAGCATAATGGTACCCTCTCTGTGGTTCCGCCATCGTTCCCCAACCATAGGCACTTTAAATTCTACCTGCAAGAGAGCTCTTTATACTTAGCTACGTCATGGAACTACAGTTTTAAACCTACTTTTGAAGAAAGTTTCTCAACTGATATGCTCTATACTTAGACTTGGATGTCCCATCAACCAATCCATCGGGTACCTGCTACCTCTTACCACTATATATACTGATTAATTCTATCTACCACCATATGGAAAGAAATCATTTACCTCTTTTTTTTTTTACGCTTTATGGCTAGAAGGTATTTTCTAAGGGTGTTTAGTGTTAGCTGCAGCTCAATGTTTAAGCAGTTATGTTCTAGGTCTAAAGGTATGTAACATTAAATTCTAGATAGCTCAAACTGTAGGTGGCATAATCATAAATTGCCTCATAACCCAAATGGCATTTAGTCAAAATCCAACAACAAGCACTTCAATAAACAGGTAGACTATAATTCAACCTTTTCAGGATGATATTTTCTAAGCAAACAATGACAGCTCTCATCAAATATAACACATTCAAGCACTAATCCTCGATAGCAATCGTGAAAGCTCAACTAGGTTCAGCATCATCCTTTGCTGTAATAGAAGTTTGATTCACCCCATAAATGGAAGTGCATATTTGAACTATACAAAATAGGAGTCTGAAGTTTTCTTTATAGAGTTAAAGAGTATTACAACCAAACTTACAAGTCGATTTCGTTCGGAGAAAGAGAATGCAGATGAGTTCGCAGCCGAAGGCGATTGAATTGACGGATAGGTCGAACACCTTTCTCGTTTTTCAGAAAAAAAAAATAAACAGTAGTAGTAATTGTATAATTATATTGGAGTAGTTCTGACAACACTCCAAGACGCAAAATAAATCAAAACAGAGCTTTTTCCTAATCCAAACACCAAATTAATTCTTTTTTGCTTCCATTAAAGCATTTACATACTAGTACTAGAAAAAATATATTTTGATGGTGAACTTGGTCGTGACTTCCAACTAGATTTATTATTTATTATTATTATTTTTATTTTTACTATTCCTTCCGTTTACCTATTTCATTTTTGATCTGTTCAAAAAAGAATGAACCCTTTCTAAATTTGGAAACAATTTAACTTTAAACTTTCAATTTCACCCTTAATGAGAATCTTTTACAACTACACAAATACTCTGAATCCATTTTTGACTTATTTAGCACCACAAATTTCAAAAGTTTTCATTTTTTCTTAAACTATGTGCTCAATCAAACAGATCACGGAGCATTATTTTAAGCTTATGCGTTTCAACTATTTTACTGTTATTAGCGAAAAATTTCAAGAAAAAAATTAAATAAGAAAAATAAGAAAAAAATTGAATAAGAAAGAAAAAGAAAAATACATGAAACAATAAATAAGAATAATAATTTAAAAATGAATGCAAAAATGTCTATGGATGTCTTTTTTCTGTGTGTGCCTAATTTCTAGCTTTAACATACTATAAAAGACAATGAAGCTACTATCCATGCCACTTTGGCATTACACGGAGATTTTAGATAGGAAATCTTATGGTTTAGGACGGTGGTCATTTAATAATTCTTTGTCAAAAAATTATATTGTGTATAAAGATAAAATATTAAATTTTAAAGATAAATATTCTTTATCATTTTTTTTGGCACCCTTAAAACCTCATGCTCATAGTTTGAAGTATTATACTTACAAAACATAAATAATTTAGGGGATTTTAGGTATACAAATTTATGCCCTTAACATAATATACAAGTAGAGGTGTCAATTTATATTTTAAGCCTAAACAATTACTCCCATGGGAAGAAAAAGACAAAAAAAAAAAGAGAAGAACATGTACCAGCCGTCAGGCCAAAAGTACAATCAATCGTTCAGAATGTAGAGCTATTTAGACCTAGGCATTTCAAAGTCAACCTCATAATTGCAATTTTCTAATCTCTGGTATGTTCCATAGATGTACTACTACCGTAAGACCACCTCTGCATTAGTTTTAAAGGTCTGCAAAACGTGGACAAAAACACTGCTGACTTCCGAGGTTCTGGGGAACACTAGGATTAAGCAGCTGCAGCAGCAGAAACACTGTTCCCTAGCTCACGCTGGTATATCCCCATTTCCAGAATACTCACAAATTCACAATCTTTGGTTTTTTCAATTATAAATTTCTGCCCAAATGGTTTGTTTGCTCAATATGGCTGGAACTTTTGTGTTTTCTTGATTGAACTTGTTGTTTTGATTGTATGATGGACCTTTCCCGTTGGTCCAACTGGTTTTGCATGATTTATTAGTCTTTCATTTTTGGTTGGAAATGAAGGGGCCTTGGTGTAACAAAGTTGCTGCCACGTAACGGGTTCGTAGAAACAGCCTCGTAGAAGGCTGTGTACAATATAGACCTTGTGGTCCGGCCCTTTCCTGGATCGCTGCCCTTTTTTCTTTTTTGGTTGGCAATGGAAGGGAGTCTGTAGTTCTTGAAGATGTTTAAGAGTGTCATTTTCTACTCTCTTTCACTCTTTTTTTTTTTTTTTTT